AAAAAAAGTTTTAATGTTTCCCAGACCGTCGCCAATAGCCCATTGTGCAGCTCTAGTGCGACGTAAATTAACAAGAACAACAGCCATACTCTAAAGGTGTCAGGATAACATTTTACTACCAAACAGCATGGTAATAAATCTATATTTTATTGTTAATTTTTCCAATGCATTTCGGTGAAAATTATCGAGCTTTTTTGTGTTCCCATAGAGACAGAGCACTGCAAATTATACCATTTTCTGGTAGTTTCGACCATACTTTCTTTTCTCAGTGTTAACTACAAAATTTATGTAACACTAAATAGTGCACACAAAAGGTATTAAATCTGAACTAATGATAATAGTTCAATTTAAATTGATTCCATGAAAATTATTATTTGTTTTATTATTTGATTAACTAGATAACAGCTTTTAGATAACGGCTTTAATCAATCCATTTTTTCACTCATTAATAATAATATAAAATGCTTCAATCACCTGACTGCCTGTTTCCTCTTGGAATGATCTGATAAAGTGTCCTGGCATCTTCAAAGCAGTATTCAAGTAATTTCCCATCAGGGTAATACATTGAAGACCTCGCACGATCTGGTCCCTGTGTAAATTAAATAAGTGAAATTAATGAATTTAAAGCAGAAGAAACATTTGAGATTTAACCTTAGAGAATATTTGATTCATATTCCCTATTCATGCATTTGTTTAGTTGATGAACACTGGATTTCAGCTTGGTATTAAGCTATTTCCGTCTATCAGGCAGTCATTTACAAATAAAATGAAGAAGAAATTGCAGATGATATAATTTACATACAATATTTGAAGCAACCCCGAAAATTTCTCACGGTTAGCCCGATGCAAAGGGAATTCTGACCCATGGTCCGTCTAACATTGAAGATATTTTTACGTCAGCGTTGTGGTCATTGCGAGCCTCGAGCAGCGTTCGTATTTACCAGCCACCGCTGGAATTTGAACCTAGTTCACCTCATTGATAGGCAAACGCTCTTTTCCTTGAGCCAACGCGATTCAGCAATGAGTTTTAAAACCTGTAATTATAGTTGATTCAATAAATAACGTTAATAGTTTGTGACACTCTTATGAAAAAATTACATTAGTATTTCTTATTAGGCTTTTCCAATTAAAATGAAATAAACAAATCTTCAATGAAGAAATATATTTTCCAGATATCTATTTTCAACGTTAGGAGCATTTTTTTCCTTCTTCTTTTTAACAAAAACCGTAAAATAGCTTGTTTTATCCATTTTCAACTTATGCATAACCCAAAATCAAAACTTGACTAAATATAACTCTAAGTACCGGACATGAAATCGAATTTGAAATTGTTAAATATAAAATGACGAAAACATTGTGTTCCTCATATATTTTTAAAAAAACTCGTAATCTTATTGGTCACTGAGTGCATGATTATCTTTTTATATATTAAGCCGGGGTTACGGCGAAATAAGGTCGATTATTTAGAGTTACAGAACCGAAAAAAATCCCTGGTCTGATGAGCAAAAAATTGCAACATGGCATCAAGCAAATTCATCTGCTGCTTGTTATTATCACTCATCTGAATGAAAATTAATGATTATTTACATGTGATATTATCTAGCAGCAAAAAAGTTACTTCTTGTTGCAAGTTCCAGTTCTTTTACTCTAAGGTTAAAGGAAAAAGAAAAAAATTAAGTTTTTTGTATACATAGTGTAGGGATGTTTGACATATCTTATCGAATCAAGGATTTTGGCAAATACACCTGCCAACGAGGAAATTGAAAGACTCCGAGTAATAAAGAAAGCTTCACGAAATATTAAAAGTAAGACCAAGAAGCAAGGAAAAAAGTGAACAACAGTACTGATTCAGACTAAAGATGTTAAAAAAAATAACAAACAAGTTGAAACAGTATTTCAGTTCACTGATTAAAATAAAACTGTTTAAAACCAAACTAAATTCAAGCGAGAATGGTCAACAATTTTAATTTAGATTTGTTATTTTTCATAAGTCAAGTATTGTATACTAGTGGGATGTACTCGCCAACCCTTTTCTGTCTGATTTTTCTCCGAATTTCCGACTTAAGAAAAGCATTTTTTTTATTACTGAAAATTAATATATGTTCTAAATTAAATTCGAAAATGCAAACTATTTTTGTCAGCAAGCAGTTTTTTACTTGACCTACAGGTGTGAAACATGTGATGTCCCGTTCACTGATCTCCAGTTTCCCTTGCAATGCACCCAACTTTTATCTTTATAAAATCTATTTCTAAGATCAATATCTGCATAAGAAATTATTGAAATTAGGTAAAAGTTTTTGTGAAAATTATTTAATAACTAATAAAAAATTAATAATGATTCATAAATACTAGTAATTAATTAATAATAATTAATTTTAATAATAATTAATTTTCATAATTAATTTTAATACTAATGAAATGAAATAATTTTAATACTGATGAATAATTTCAACACTAATGAAAGCGACATTACAGAAAGTACAAAATGATTTTGATTTTAATTCAAGGCGGAAAATCTCACTGCGAATATTGTGAAGGAAGTGGGACTAGTTGCGCCATCTCTTAGCAATTTTCAGAAATACAAAACTAATCACGGGACATAAAAAGGCGTGTAAGAAGCAACGAATTCAATTTCAATGATGATGCAATTTTTATCATCGTTGCATGGCATGCGACGCTGACCCTGTGGACACAAAATCGCAGAACGTATGAGATGCGGCAAGAACAGAGAATTGCTTAAAAATGTCTGGCATAACAGGGAGTCGCATAAATGTTGCCGCAAACTTTTAGGGGAGTTAGAGCACATCATAAGGATTAAAATTGCATAGGAACCCTTGCCCGGAAATTTCGTCAAACGCCACTTGGGGCGCTTCTCTATTATGTTTCTACACCTGCATCTGAACAAGATCATGACAGGAAAGCGCCTCCAGCCGCCTACGCCGCCATTTCCGGATATGGGTCCCAATGCGATTTTAATCCTGATGATGTGCCCTGATCCCCTAAAAGTATGCCGCAACAATTGCACATCACTCTGTTATATATAACGTTTTTAAACTTGCACATTTCCACAAAAAAATTGGCTAAAAATTTCATTTTTAAAAAACATCTGTTGTTCTAGGAGCAAAACTAATGTCAGATTTGAAGTCCCCACACACAAATCAGGCAAGATCAAGTATTTGTATAAATGCAACAAAATATTTATTCCCCAGTGTTATTGCTGTTTTGTTCTAAATAAGTCCTATAATTCCTGTTAGTCAAATCTCTCTCAAGTAGGGAGATTTGTCTTCACTATCAGTTCGTACACTTTTGCAAAATCCTTAACACAGTCAATATTCTAATAATTTTAGTAAAAAAAAACTATAACTGAAACAGATGACAAGCGTTTTAAGTTAGAAAAATAATGTTATCTTGGAGCTTTCATTATTTTTTTAGACGAAAATAGAAAAATATTTTAGTGAAACCTTGCATATTATCTGTAGTACTCTATACTTACAAGCATATAACACTTATGTAAATGAGTATTGGCAAATTAGATGTCTATTTTGACAGTTAAGAGATAATATATTAAACTTGCTTCTAAACAACAACAAAATCTTCATTCGATTCTAAACAACATCAATCTATTCGTCAGGGACTATTTTTATGCTAGTTTTTTGATATCCTTTCATAACTTATAAATTATAAAAATATATATTTCCCTTCTAAATTACAAAGAACGCTTTAAAGTTTTATTATTTAAAAAAAATTTACAATAATTATTATACTTTATTTGTTGTATTATTATTTGCAAAGTTTAGCACAACTTGATTGTTCACTAATGGAAATTATTCCATCGTACACTAGTTGGCATAAGTTGTTTGTTCGTAGTTGTTTTTTGACTAACTCCGCCTGTCTACTATCAAGAGATAATCACAAGAAAAAATCTCATCTAGGATGATTTTAGTCAGGTCGTAATTGCTAATATAATCCTATAGGTTGTTTTTTTTTAATAGTATCTAAAATTATATCGTTTTTAATATACTTTACCTGCTGCAGCTCGAAATATGTATTTTATTTTCCTTATTGTATTACCTTTTTTTTTTTCTAGGGCAGATTTTTTTTACCTTCTGATTAAGAGTCGTGTTCTAATAAATAAAAAAGTATCTATTTTCGTTTTAAGAAATTAAATAGCAATTCCACATGTGCATCAATTTTTATTATTGGTCATTGATCACAGCTCTCTTTTTTTTTCTTTTTTTTTTGTACTCATTATGTTTGTAAGTTCACTGACTGTAGTTCAATTAAGTTACCAAAGAAAAACTTCAATGGAGCTACTTTAAAATTAGATTCATTCCTACGAAAATATTCTAAGGTTTAATGGATAAAAAGACGCCAGTTTGCCTCAACTATAAAACCAGTTTAACTGAAAATTTGGTTTCTCGTAGAATATCATACTATGGTGAAAAGAAAAAAAGAAAATCAAGCCATTCAACTCATAACGCAAATGAATGGCCTTGAGACAGTAAGCGCTGATAACAAATGATAAAATTAAAGATGCTTTGGCCCTTATACCCTTAATGTTTAAAGGTTTTTTTTTTCTTCTTTTTATGTTCAATCGTCTTACACGTGCTTTCTTTAGGTTTATAATTGTCCACATAATAATTCATTTCAAAAATGATACAAAGTAGTCGAAATTAATTGTACATTTTCTTATATTATGGAGAAAAAAAGTTCTAGAATCGTAGTTCTTTTTTTTTCTAAATAAATAAAACATTAATTTGTTTTGAAAAAGATCTCGAATGCAATCTTGCTTAATCTAACATCAGGATTAAAGAATATATGTTCGATTTTTTAATTATAATTTATCGTGTTATTTCTATAGTAATTTCATTTTACATTGTATGTTTAATTATATTATTTATTTGTTTTCAGTTGGTTAAAAAAATTACATAATATATTCCATAAAAACTTAATTTTGGTCGTTTATCTTTGATTTAAACATTAGCTACCGGCCTTTCATTTTGCGACCCCTTCATTTATAATTATATATTAATACACATATGCATTTATCTACTGCAAAGAATATCTTGTTTTGATTGCCAGCAACTAACCCGTTGTTCCAGTAGTACAACCTGTATAGCAATCAATCGGAAAAACTTCAGACAACTTTCTTAAAGATTGTTACTTTTTGGCGCTTTCAATAATAAAGAATTTCAACCCGGTAAGCATACAATAAAAATATTCGTGATCATTATTTATCATGTTGTCAATAGAGCTTAAGTTCGAACAAAAACAATAATTCGTTTCTCAATAACTGACCCTCATATAACTACTTAGTTTCGAAGTATTTTTTTTTATGTCAATACCAAATTAATATTTTAGTTACTCGGAAAGAAACTGTTTCAGAATATTTTTAGGAAATGAAAAAATGTGTTTTGAAATTGACTAACTGATGCATGTTATTATCATCGTTATAATATTCATAACGTAAATATGACGTATAATTGATCAGTGTTATGACGTGAGAAATAATGAAACAAGGAATTCCTGCCTTCCAATCAAACTTACTTTTCTTTTAAAGCAAAAAAAACATCAATGAAAACCCCAAAATTTTATTTTTATTTTTCCTTGTCACTTTCAACTGTAAATCATATGATTTTTATTCCAGAAATACCTTGGAGCTTTTTCAAAACAACTTACTGAAAATAACAGCACGTGACCTGGTTTTAATTCTGACCGCGTCACACGTATAATAATTAGAAATCATTTCTTAAATAAATGACTTCGAGTGCCAGTTTTGTTGATTTCTGAAATAATAATAAGTTCTATAAAATGAATACACTTTTCAAAATACTGTTATAATTGACTACGTGAGCTTTTAATCTCAGACTCTGAGTTCTCTCATTCCAAAGAAAGAAAATATAGTAGAGTCTCCTTACAACGAAGTCTTGGGGCGAATTTTACTGCGTAAAGAAATTTTTAATTGCAACACTAAATAACATTAAATATATTCTCCATATATAGAAGTGGTTGTTTCCCTATAACGAAATTTTTAAACATTCATCTTTTCGATTTTCGTCATTTTTTCAGAAAGTTGATGAATCAGTTGAAATATTAGAAAAGAATTGAAGAATAACAGACGATGTAACTCTCTTCAAATTTTTGAAAGGTGAGAGTAAAAAAAATTTAGTTGCATTCATATTCTACAAATGAAGAAATTTTGAAAATTGTAATAGGCTACGATAAATGCCGGAAAGAGACAATAATTTGAAACGAGTCCTGGTGGCTCAGGGGTGAGAGATTAATCGGATTTGAATCCAAGGCATCGCAGGAATTTGAATACCGACCACAGTGCTAGCGTAAAATATCCTCAGTGGTAGACGGGTCATGGGTTAGAGTCCCCTTTCCACCAGGCTAATCGTCGGAAGTTTTCGTGGTTTTCCTCGCCATGTAAGGTAAATGCAGGTTATCACCTTCAAAGAAGTCCTCCATGAAGGCAAATTTCTCCCAATACTTGATACAGGAGTTCTCGTGTCTTCTGCATCGGTTTCAAAATTACAAGATTACGGAGTTGAACATTGACAGTCGTAAACTCAAAATTGGGTCGGCTGTTCAACGACGGTTTATAAAATGAAATAAAAAAGTAATTCCAAAAATGAAGCGGCGATACTGAACTAAAATCTGTCTAAAAAAATAAAATCTGTCGTAGCCATGAAAGAAGGTCTGTATGTGACAAAAAAAAGGAAATGATCCCTACTCTATTTTTAGCTCATCCTTAAAACAAGAAAATGTAATTAGAACGTCACTAAATGCAAAGTTATGTATAATCATTGAATTTTTTTAAGTAAAATAAGCATATATTACATACCAGAACATATTCTTTAAATTCATGAATTGTCTTCTCACTTGATCATTTTATTTACTTAATAAAAATTGATGATTTTATTGAATTTATAATGTGCTTTAGTTCATTTTTATTGAAAAGTCATAATTACAAACTTTTGAACTTATCAAAAGTACTAAAAGTTTTATAACATTTACTTAAATAAGAGCAAAAATCTTTTTTCTCCACACAGTCTCTTTTCCACTGAAACCCATCGATTTCGTTATATATTGTATATATTGATTCATTTTTAGTTAAAAATCATTATTACATACTCTGAACTTATCACCAGGACTAAATTATTTTATTTCATTTACTTAAATAACTGCAAATGTTTCTAATCTCTTTCCCTCAAAAGTTAACAGCAAAAATCTCTAACAACTTTCCCTCAAAGTACCCTGGAAAGTTCCACTAGAACAAATCGATTTCGTTATACACTGACACTGCAGTGGGAAAAGTGATAACACTTGAGTGGGAAAAGTTTTTAGAAAATATTTACTTAACTCTATATTAAAACAGTGTCTAATTATCCGACACCCACGGTGCCAAGTGTAAGTCAGGAAATCGAAATCGGAGGATGTTTATAGTTGATTTAAGTATGTAAACATCAAGATCAAATTATGAATAAAATTACTCAGAATAATTCACGACCATAAATTTAAAAAAAAAAGTACTTGTGTTTTTAATATAATAAATAACGATTCAATATCATTTTGATGTATTTTTGATTTTCGCTTTGTTGTTGGATTCTAGCTACCAAAATCCGGATCCATTGCCACTATAGCAATGGGATACCTGCAAGTGACGTAATGTGAGTATCTAGATTCTGATTGGTCGTTGAAAAGTGGCATTTGTTTACGTTATTAACTGTTCTTTTCTTTCTATTCCGAGTAAGCCAAGCCCGTCAAGTATCAATTCTTTTAAGTGACACACATACTATATTCTTTCACAAAAATTCTTTAATAAAGATTTCAATTCTTTCACTATGTATTTCTTACTTAACACAAAGACACAAAGACAGACACAAAGCCATGCAAAACATAAACAAACTAATTATGCATCCAAATTGTCAGGTACACGAAACAAAAGTATATCATGGTTAGACTAAAATACAAAAAACAAATAATAAATCTAAGTTAAGTGAAAGATGGAGGTGAGAAAGTATTATATTTAAACAAATTTGATGTGCTTAATTATTTAATTAACTTCACAATAATTAACATTCTAACTTATGTGGAGAACCTTAGCTCAACTTTAATTCGCTTATAAGCGATCAACTGATGCTGACGTCATAGGTCACGTGTGTGTGTATTCGTGATCTTCTTCTTGAATTGCAAGCACCCAATTGGATTAAATTGAGTATTTAGTGTCTAATTATGCAAGGCCCATAAAAGCAGCCGTAATTGGGAAACATCAACTGTCTAAATAACATAATTCGTACCGGAGTGCTTTTATGGGATTCTGAAAAGCGTCGAATAACCGAAGTGCCACATGATCGGGCGTCGGATGATCGGGGTTCTACTACCGAAGAATTTCCAAAATATTTTCTGGTGTAATTTACAGCATTATTAATTCACATACGCCCATATTAATAACTACTCTTCTTTGTTTCACGTGAATTCCAAACTTATACACTAAAACCTCTAAGTATTCTCTTGAGAATCACATCTTTATTCGCATTTTGAGCAAAGACAACAAATAAAAATTAATTTTTTTTTAATCACGTCGTGTAAAATGTATTTGTATGAAAAATAATAAGTTTTGTACACTCAGGGTGATGGTACTTTTTACCGTAAAATCCATTTTCACCGGAACATGTTACGAAACAAAAAATCTGAAAAACTGTCATTTTTACAGTAATAATTACCATAAAATCACTGAATCTCTTTAGTAATATTATTGTAAAATTTACTGTATATTATTAAACGACAAAAATGGATTTCACGGATGATGCACCTTATACCGTCATTTGATCCATAATTTTTTACAGTGTACACTTTATATTTATTGTCATTATGTACTGAATGCATACATAACCTGCCAAAAAAATAGTCGGGCTGAAAATTTAGTCACACAAAAATGAAAGTTAAGGAATATAAAAGGTAGATAGATAAGTGCCCCATATCTTTTTGTCACGGTTTATTATAAATGTTTAATTTATTATTATAGTAAAACAATAAAATGACTTCTACAGTCTTATGCGACCACGCAAAATGGATCTAGGGTGCAAGAAGTCAAGTTTTTATAAAAACTTCTGAAGAAAATCACTAAAAGTACCGGGATGGTTAAACGCGAAATCCTGATCGAAGGACATTCTTGTCATCACACTGCTGCACAAACCTCAATTTTCCTGTCTTGGATTTTTGAGCCCTACTATCTTTCTAGAATTAATTCTTGAGAACTGAATTTTGTTTATTTTCCTGATTGGTCCTGATCCTTTGTATTTCCCACTGGTTTCCTTAATTTTTAGTTTTAACGCTGGTAGTGTAGCTTGCCCAAAGCATTGAAACAGCTGCGCGATATAACTTTTCAAAATGTAATTTTCAAATTGTTTTTCTGATTTATTACCTCCAACACCAAGGGCTAACATTTGTATCTTTTGATGCCTATTTTAGTATTGTGTAAAAAGTGATTAGTCTTTGAGAAATTTTAAATCAAGTTTCTGCAATATAGGGGTACATATAAGAGCATTTATATATGAAGTAGTGAGTTGTTTAGTGAGGAGATTATAAGTTGGGAGCTTCCATTCATCAACAAATTCAATAATAAATGGGTTCTTACCGGTAACTCCTTGGACTGCTTATCTAAGTTCACTGTTGGTGTCATTGGTGGTGGTAATGTAGACATATAAAGAGATGTTGCGACTGCTGCAGCTCCAGACATCATTACACCTCCCATAACGCCGCCCAGATATTGCAAATACTGTTCCATCGTTGAATTGATTGACGACTAAAAATTACCTCTTTGTATATTTCCTCTATTTCAGTGAGAGAAAAAAATAATTATAAAATGAAATAATATGCAATGCTAAAAGCTTAGTGGTACATTGGAATAATTGGAGAAAAAAAAGTATGGTCAAAACTTCCAGAATATGGAAAAATTGACCGTGTCTCTGACTCAATAAGAACACCAAAAAGCTCGATAACTTCTTGCCGGTTCGCTGTTCTAATGATTCTGGTAAAATTAGCAATAAAATATGGTTCTGTAATATGTGATACAATTTTGTAAGTGTCTTAAAGTTTTATAATTTTATCATGATACTTTAGCGCGGGGCATAAAAAACCATATATTCGGTTAAATTTACTTTTTATTTATTTATTATTATTATTATTTTTTAACTAAATACATGGTAATAAGAACGATAATTTTGAAAACCAGAGTGTTTGGTAATTCTTTATCATATAAACGGAAAAATTGCCAAATAAATAGTTTTGAAGCGACGTGACATCACTCATCATATTCTGCATTAATAGTTTTAATAATTATTTATTAACTTTAAGTTTGCTTTAACTACAACTTTAATTCCTACTTTTTAGAATGGCATTTTAATGTTGTTCTATTATTATATCTTTGCTTATTTGCATCTTAAATATTTGATGACGCATTTAAACTAGACTAGTCATGTATAAATTGTAAATAAATGTAAATTATAATTATTTAATGTTTTTATTCTTCAAACCATTCATTACGCTTCAGTTTAAATACTGTGTAATTTGGTTTTTATTACCAGAATTAAGTTGTTTTCTAGAAATTCCATTACCATACAGTACGGTAATATTTACCAGAATTTTTTCTTCATGAAGCAGTTTCCGAATGTATAAATAAGAATATCAGAAGACTGCCCACAAAGCTTTTTTTTTCATTTAAAATCTCCTTAGAAACTTGGTAAAACAAATTAATGAATTATATTTGCAAATAATCGAAGCATTTAAAAGCGAATTTTTATCAACTGTATATTGCTGAACTTTAAAATTTGAGTTTCTCCAAAATGCTACTTAACATGCACAACATGTTTTTCACTATCTCTCTTACTCAACGACACTTAATTCATGACATCATCGAGCCATTTCACTCTTAACACTGTATTTCGAAGCTCTGTCGCCTAGGAAATTTAAAAAAAACATAGTTTAAGCGCCTTACACAAGAAGCAATGCGATGATTTTAAACTATATATATAATCTTGCCGCGTAGAATTATCTGGACTTTAAAACAAACAAATAACTTAACTGTTTTAAAAGAAATTAAACTTTTTTTTAAAAAATCGGCGATTTGGCGACCTTTTCCCACCTAGACGAAAATTATCAAAATCACTGCCTCGTTCTCAGTTTTTGCAAATTATTATGAGCCCAGGTAATGCAGCTTTGGAGTAAGTTTTTAAATATTAAAAAATTGGACCACAAACGCTTTTTATTTTGGCAAAACTGTGGCTTTTCTCCATATTGATGTTTTGGGCCATTTTCAAAATTAACGTAAACAACGCTAGGCTAAACTAGACCTAACAGTCATCATGAGTAACAGTTGCAAATTCACAGAAGTTATAAAAATATCATATTATTCGAGAGAAAAAAAAGTATCATTTCATAATACGACGGAACCTTCGAAAAACAAGCTTTACATCTTCCTAACACATTCTGTTTCTAAAAATTTTAAGTTTTTTCATGTTAGTATTGTTATTATGATAGGTTTCTGCTCCTCAATAAAAGCACCAGTTTTAAAATTTTTTGGAATATTTGGGTCAAATATTTCTGTTTTTCCAGAAATTATTTAAAACACAAAAACTTATCCGAGCTTCGTTTATTGAGTTTAAAACCTCTTCATCTATTTACGTTTGCAACTTACGCATCATTGAAGAATACGGTTTAGTCAGCTGTAAATGATATCGATAGTTCTAAAAACTTGAGGGTCTTCATTATAGCTCGTTAATGTTTTAGTGCTTGTTACGTGCTCGTCATTAAATTAATTATGCTTTAGTATTATACAAAGAAAGAGCTTTAATTATATCCTTTATAAAAATAAAAAAACAATTAAATAATTTAAGCCATTTATTGTTTATTCTGTGTCACTACCAACACAGACGAACATGAACTTCTACTTCAGTTTGTCCATTTAATTCTCAGTTACAGTAAAAACTTTCAGAGCCATGGATGATTCAATTGATTTAATTGATTAATTAAACTATGGATTATTCAATAAATTAATTAAGTCTTTATTAACAACACTATTAAAAAAATAACTTTTTGCCTGTAAGACGAGCAAATCCAATTTCTCTTAACTAAACTGATTACGTTTAGCATTTAGGTTTTCTCTTTGACGAAAAAGCAATTTAATTCCCTATGTTGATTTTCCTATTTTAATAAGTAAATAGTTTAATAAACTTATATTTTAGTTAGTTAAATGTGATTTATTGAATTTATTTACCAAATTTTGAACTTGAAAGTTGAAAAAAAAAATTTTATAACTGTTTAAATTTCGTATAACTTAATAATTTTAAATAACTTAATAACTCTTTTGCGAACTATTATTCTAATTTAGAAAGGTTTCAAAAATACTTACCTTAGCACTTTAAAATGTTCAAGTTTTAAAACTTATAATACTTTACCTTAATATATATACCCAATACCTTAATACCCTAATACCTTAATTTATATACCCAATATATCAAGTTTTTAATCAGAACCTTAAAATTTTAAATTTGGTGACTAGGTTCAATAGAACACATTTCAATGTATAAAAGTTTAAAAAAATCAAAAATTTTATTTAGTTATTTAATTAGTAAAAAAATTGCGTTCATGATTCTCCGTAGGATTAATATGGAGAACATCTGATCTCTGTATCGCATCTCTGCCTGAAGAGGTCGCTTTAAAATCGTTTCAGGATAACTGAAACTTCGAAGAAATTCCTTAAAAATTTTGCATGGTGCAGTTCATCTTATAGTTAGCAAAAACCTTAATGAGCAAATAAAGATCCTTCCTTTAAATATACGTTTTCTTACTATCGTATCTCATATTTGTCATGTAAGCAGAAACCAATTCAAAAGAGAATTTAAAAAAAAAAAACTCTAAACAATAGAATTATTGAACTTCCTTTTATATGTTCAGTATTTTAATAATAAAATCAATTTAATGCTTTCTAGGCAGATATTCTTACGTGATTTTACTGCTTATCAGTAAAATCCTAATTATGTACCTTTAAACGGGGAACTTAGCATTAAATTTAGTTCTCAAAATCAAAAGATTGTGTTAGGATCATGCACTTTTCTTTAAAAAAATTCAAGATTATTATGCACTTAACATTTTTTGTAAAAAACCTAACATATCCTAAAACTTTACATTTTAAACATTATATTAACTGTAAGTCTCAAAATTTTTAAGATTGAATTAGGATCCTACACTTTAATAAAAAAAAGTCAAAGATTATTATGCACTTTACCTTTTCTGTAAGAACTTTAACTTATCTTAAAACTTTAAACATTGAATATTGTATAAACTTTAAGTCTCAAAATTTCAGATTGCATTAGGATCATGCACTTTTTTAAAAAATCGAAGATTATTATGTACTTAACTTTTTCTGCAAAACTCCTAACTTATCTTACAACTTTAAACATTGAACATTATATTAATTTCAATTCACAACATCTCAAGCATTATATGAGTGCACTTTTTTGAAACTAAGATTTTTATGTATATTTAGCTTTTAAAGATAAAAGTCCTAACGTATCGCAAATTTTTAAGCATTGTATTAATTTTTTTCAATTCTTAACATATTAAGTATTGTATCAGTACATTTCTTTTTTAAATCAAGGATTCCTATGTACTTTCACCTCTAAGTCCTAACTTATCTTAAACTTTGAAACATTGTCTTAAAAAAGGTACAATTTTACTTTTAAAAAGCGTTCCAACTACGCAATATCAAAAAAACACATTTCAATTATTTTATTAATTTATCGCATTCATTTCTCTACATCGTAACTATAGCAAACAATTTTATCAAAGTCCAACAAGGATTAAGCAGTTCAAAGTGCAATGATCTGAGAAACAAATATAGCTTTTGATGCTCAATTTCTGACTAATTTTAAGCATCTTTTCTTATTGATAACGCGTGTTGCTAAGAATTCAAATAAATAAACAAATGCGTCTTCTTACGAATACAACAGTTACAAAATTTAATTCAAAAAACAATGCCAAATATATTCGAATGATCTATTTTTAGAACTACTTCAGCAATGAAAACGAACTTTGAAGCCACCGTAATCAATGAAAAACATCTTCTTTTTTTTTCCTATCCACATTTCTCTGTTTTCGTCGTTCGAAACCGACACTCAAAGAGATGATTTTAGAACCTAGTGTCAAATCCAAAGGTTACTAAGACAGCAGATTAGAAAAATATGGTGTGATGTTTTTTATCATTTCGCTACAGAAAAATAAAAAGGGGAGTTGTATAAATATATCATTAATTATCTTGCTTTGATTCTTTTAATGATAGCTCTTCAGCGTTATTTTAAAAGACAAATGGATTATTTCATGTTATTAAATCTAATCTTCGTATTATTCTAGGAAGAAAAAAAAATCTTTTATTTTAATAATTTCGTTTAGCTGCAAAACCAGTCGTCACCACAAATTTTGGAAATGTTTTTAAATAAATTTTTTCTTCAAATGATTACAAAAAACCATGGCAAATTCGATCAAATCGACGTGTTACATGCATTTGAAAATCACGTTATACTGCAAAACCGGCCAAAACCTGCAGGCGATAATTTACAAAACAGGCATCTCCATATTTGCCAAATGTCACTTTTGATCAAGAGTTTAGTTACACTAAGTTTTTTAGCATTATTATCTACAAATACGCAATTTCTTATTGAATATCGAATTTTATTCTTATTATTATTATTAAGATGAAGAAGTTTGAAGAGGCAACGTCTCCTAATAAATCAAGAAATATCTAAAAATGGCTGCAAATTTCTAAACAAAATTTACA